CCTTGATTCTAACTTTAATTCTTAGCTGAATCTACAAGGTGTTAGGAAGAAAGCAATCTGACAAACAAATTCATACTCATGTGTAAATGATTGTCCATTAATTTATAATATACACATACACAAACACATGCACAAACATAATTGCATTACTTATGTGTTAGCTAGGCATCATTCTGGGGGCCAGGGATATAACAGTGGAAAAGGGCAAGGTTTCTGCTCCCGTGAAGCTTACATTTCAGTGAGGAGGGCTGGCCAATAATAACACTCCAAAACAAATAAACAAAAAAATCCACAAAGTTATAAATAGGGTGATATAATACAGGAAAACTGGGTGACCACTTTGCATCGTGTGGTTAGGGAAGGTCTCTTTGAATAGGTGACATTTAAGATGAGATATAATTGAAGACAAAGAGCCAGTCTTGTGCACATGAAGAGGAAGAGCACTTTGGACAGCTAGCACAACACTGAGGAAGGAATGGACTTGGTGCATGAAGGACAAGAAAAAGGCCAGTGGGGCTGAAGAGCAGTGGGCAAGGAGGTAAACAGAACAGAAACACAGGAAGGGGCCAAATCACTCGGTCTTTGTAAGCCAGATTTATGCTTTTGAAGTTTATCCTAAGTGAAAGAGGAAGCCTTGGAAAACTGTAAGGAGAAATGTGGTCTGAGTTACATCTTAAAACAATCTCTAGCAGAAGCATGGAGACAGTTAGGGGGCTACTGCAGGGATCAGATGAGAGAGAATGGCTGCCTAGACTAGCATGGCTGTGGTAGAGACAGCTAAGTGGGTCTGATCAAGATATACTGTAGAGGAGAGATCTGCAGGAGTTATGAATGGATTCACTGGGGAGGAGGAAAAAGGAATCAGGAACACCTGGGTAGATAATACTGTTTTCCTGAGAAAGGTGAGATATGGGAAGAATAGGTTAGGTTGAAGGATAAGGCAGCTGGGCAGTAGAAGCCAACAGTTCTATTTGGATATGGTAATTTTGAGCTGTGAATTACACATCCAGCCTTGATATAGGAAGGCGGTTGGTATATGAATCTAGAACGCAGGGAAAAGTTGAGGCTGGGGAGCTACATTGGGTACTCACTGGCATATCGATGGCATTTAAGCCTTGGATACTGGGATGATGGCCCAGGGGGTGAGCATGGACCAAGAAGAGGCCTGGGGACCAGGCTCTGGCTCTCTCCAACATTGAGAGGTGGGAAGAGACTGTTCCTCTCTTCTCCAGACAGGCGGCTCTGTAGAAGGGCCATTCAGGCAAAGAGGCTGTTCCTCTATTAACAGTTGTGGGTCTTTAAGCTCTTATAGGCACACCTGAGGGTGGTCAGGAGTCCTTTTCTGCCAGTAGATTATAATGGAACATTTCACTACCAGTTGGTATGAAGAAGCTCTGTCTCACCTGCAAAGTCATAAGCTCTTTTTTCCAAGATTTTGAATATGGTAAAAAAAAAAATACTATTAATGAGATACATAGATATTGAATCCTGCCCTGAGGCAGGAGGACTAATAGGGAAGGTTTTCAATGCCCATAAGGCCATCACAATCTAAGAATCTAAGTCTCACCTCCAGGAGGAAGCAGTTTACCAAACACTAGCCAGGAACCCTTCTGCCTTAGGAAAACTGTCAAGACTTCAGCCTAGACAAAGAGCTGGGCCCCAGGACCAATACAGATGAACGGTACGGGTAAGTGAAGAGAATTAGTTCTCTTTTTTCTTCTGCCTATAGCAACTGGGCTTCGTCACTTGAGAACAATAGCATCTTTTTTCCCCCTGATAAGTCAGGAAATATAATAAAGCAATGCTCTTGTTTATGGTTTGCTTTGCTGTGCAAAAGCTTTGAAGTTTCATTAGGTCCCATTTGTTTATTTTTGTTTTTATTGCCATTTCTCTAGGAGGTGGGTCAAAAAGGATCTTGCTGTGATTTATGTCATAGAGTGTTCTGCCTATGTTTTCCTCTAAGAGTTTGATAGTTTCTGGCCTTACATTTAGGTCTTTAATCCATTCTGAGCTTATTTTTGTGTATGGTGTTAGGGAGTGTTCTAATCTCATACTTTTACATGTACCTGTCCAGTTTTCCCAGCACCACTTATTGAAGAGGCAAAGTGAGAGAGTGGCATGGACATATATACACTACCAAACGTAAAATAGATAGCTAGTGGGAAGCAGCCGCATAGCACAGGGAGATCAGCTTGGTGCTTTGTGACCACCTAGAGGGGTGGGATAGGGAGGGTGGGAGGGAGGGAGACGCAAGAGGGAAGAGATATGGGAACATATGTATATGTATAACTGATTCACTTTGTTATAAAGCAGAAACTAACACACCACTGTAAAGCAATTATACTCCAATAAAGATGTAAAAAAAAAAAATAAAGCAATGCTCTGAAGCATCAGGGTTGAAGAATAAAGTCAGAAATATTGAACAAGATGCTGAATGAACAATTGGCCGTTTTTGGCGGGGGGAGGTTTATATAGATATGATCATCTGAGATTATCTGTGAATATATTGTTTGGGGAGTATGCTACACAGTTAATACTGCAGCAAATTATAGGAATTCTCCCACTAACAGAGCAAAGAAATCTGTTTCCCAATGGGAAGAATTTACGGCAGTGTAGGGAAACCATTTTGACAACTAATGACTCGCTGTATTATCCCACAGGCTTTCTTACCTCTTGACACCCCTACCTGGGTTCTGAGCTGCTTTTAAATGGCAGAACAAATGACTCCGAGCACTAGGTTCACTGTAATCCACATTTCATGTTACACAAGAGATTTTAATCATACGGCTTCCATACTGTTCAAAAGAGTTCATTAATACAAGAGATACAGAGCCATTTTGGCAGATTGGTATATAGAAAAAGGAGCCAGCTTTGAGATACTGGTATGACGAGTTGAGAAAAAGAGAAAAACACCCCAAGACATTTTCAGGCCCAAGGATTTCATGTAGGGAAAACATTTTTAAAATCCCTTTTAAAGCAAGAGATGCATTCGGTAGGATCTGACTTCGGATGCTGACTTTTCAGAAAGGCAGGCTAATTTTGGATAACTGTCGTGAGACCTAAGTTTGCCTTCATTACCATAATTTGCACACATTCTCCTCAAGCGTTAAACCCATGGCCGAGAGTGTGTACTAACTTGAGCACCGCTTGATAGTGATTTAAGCCTTAAGGAAAGAAGGCTCCCCCAGACATTTTCCTATAGTAACCTCTGATAGAGCCATGGCTAACGATGATGCTTAGTTCCTGTGGTTGTATACTTGTTCTCTAAACAAAGCAACTTAATACGAATACTTTTAAGTTTTTCCTCTTGCTTGCTACATTTCTGGTCATTTTGGGAAAAAGTTAAAAATAAAGACCAAATATAGACCTGTTGGAACACCGCTGGGGTTGAGGGGGAATCAATCGACCCCGGTTGATCACCAGTCAACCAGACGACTCCGCACAGCCCTGCAAAGGCGGGGAGGGAGAACACTCTCGAAATCCCTCAGCTCCTCCATTAACTCAGCTGGACCCCCAAAACCATGCTGGGCCCAGCATGATCAGGACTCCTAAACAGTCGATCAGTTGTAATACACCATGTGCCACGGCTCACCAGGATATATCTGGACCTTTCATCCATCCTTCGTTTCTCAAGGGGGGAGGCGTCCAAATTCATACTCGTCAGATCCTCCTTAGCCATTCAACACCATAATCACAAGAGCTGCTCTTTTATTGAATTCCACGTCCCAGATGCTTTCCTAGCTATATATTTTTATAGGCGTTTTCTCCAATCCTTACCCTGATCCTGCAAGTTAATCTGGTTGTCCCTATTTCATAAATGAAGAAACCGAGGCTCAGAGAAGTAATCTATCCATAGTCACTGAGATAATGAATATCTGAGAAGAACAGCCAGTGATTTCAGTCAAGAGACACATGGTTTAAACTGTGCTTGCTTTCAGACTCAAAAGCCAGGTTGCCAACTATGGCAAGTGTTAATAGAAGTCACAGCATTTTCATTAAGGCTGTGGCAAAGTGGGAAAGTGGGAGAGGAACGGCACCATCCGCAGGGCTGTATTTCCCCTCAATTCCTGCCTTTTCCCAAGCCCACTGCAACCCTTGTCATTGACCTTCTGTTGGTAGAGATGCAAGTCTTGTTGCTCTAAGTTGAGACTACACATCTGTCAAGAGGTCAACTAGCGATGGGAAGTAGGTCCAGAACTTCAGTTACAATAAGCTCTGATGTGTATCAGAATCACCTGTGAGCTCAGCACACATTTCTGGGCCCTTCTTTAGACCTTCTGACTCCATAGGTTGGCTGTGGGTCTCAGGCATTTGCATTTTTAAAAACAAACTCCCAGGTAATTCTGATGCCCATCAAAGTTTGAAAATTACTGCTCTCAATGTTATGTTCAGGAGGACGAGGTCTTACTTAGAAGAGCGAGTACACATAACGAGCTACAGTTGCAGGCTGGAAGAAAAATTCAGCTTAGCGGGAATGCATGAAGGGATGTCCACCTGGCCTGCTTATTTTGCTCAGGATAACTTTTTCCTGTTCTGATCCATGTCTGTTTTCTATTTACTCCCATTAATGTTTGGGTCAAGAGAATCATCAGGTCTTAAGTATTTATCTTAGTTACCCAACAAATACAGCGCTTCATCCAAACTTGACTAAATACGTAGAAGACAGAAATTTTGTTCTTGAAGATAATTCTGTAGTTGTGTTTTTGAAAGTTCTAATTGTAATGGGAAGCTGACCTATCAAACTATCCATCAAATCAATCTGCTCTCCGTGCAGGCAGGCCCTCTGGGAATGCTAACCTGTCATGATGATACTGACCAGCTTTCTAACCTTGAGAAATGCCATGATGATGTTCTGGCAGTGACATTATGCACAGCTCTGGGCTTTTGTCTTTCATAGGCCTGGTTTGTTAGCACGGCACTTGAAATTGTAGGAACAAAAGGGTCAAGAAAGCAAATGGGCTTCCACTCCTGGGGGAATCACACAGGGATGTATTCATTACCTGGCACTGAGGTTCCAAGCGCGACGAACACTACCGCGGTCACCGAATCCTTCAGGCCGATGGTGCAGCCAAAGTGGGAAGCCAGGTCTCCGATGAAAGCCGTCAGTAGGCCAATCATGAGGATGGATACGATGAAACATGCCCAGCCATTCCAGTATTCTGTAGGGGGGACGAAGGCGAAGAGAACCTTCCAGAACACAGTCAGAAAGTGCATCACGTAATCGAAGCAGGAGGGCAGCTTCTCCTCCCCACATTCATCGTCGTCATCATCTTCCCCTAGAGAGAAAGGAATGAAGAATATTTCATCAAAATCTGTGCTATCAGGGTTTTCCTCTCTCCCACTTTCTCCTTCCTAGGCCTGTTGGCCCTCCCTTGAGAGGTGGGTGAAGCTTTGGGTTTTCCAAGAGTCAATCATAATCAACCAAGTCATTATTAAAGTACTGACATGCCCCCTCGCTGTGGTTCACAGATCAATGGCAAAACCTTAAGCCCCAACCAGTTCCGGTTATATGCAATCAACACATACTTTCTACTCCCACGTCACCTCCCGTGAGTATTGTCATTTCATAGAAATGAAAAGGATTTCTCCCCAAAGGCAGGAAAGTCGTGTGCCAGGCTTGGAAAGAAGCCTCCTTTAATGAAAGATGACTGACAGTTCTTCTACCAGGACTCTTTCCTTCCAGCTTGGAGTCTGGCTCTGGGGATTCATGGCCATATGATCCTGTATAGGACCATGTTCTAACAGGGCCCTCCAGCTTCATCGCCTGCAACTACTTCAAACTCAAACTTCATCCCAGCCAAATGGAATTATTTGCATTTTCTAAAACACTGTATGTAATGTACTTTCTCCTACTTTTGTCCTTTAGAACTAAACGTGCTTGGCATATCCTAATCCCTCCCTCCTTATCCTTTAAAAAAAAAAAAAAAAAATCACTGCCCCTGTGAAACTTCCCCTGACCACCACCCTCCCGCCCCTTGCCCTCCAGCTTTCTGGGAACTTCTTGGGGCTTCCATAGCCCCCCCGCTCAACACTGCTAACACTGGATCACTGTGGTCCCTGAACAGAGGCAGGAGCACAAGGGAATTTTTCAGAAATGCAAATTTCTGGCCCCGCTGCATCAGAAACTAGGGGAGTGGGGGTGAGGTGGGAGGTGTTTGAACAAGGCTTCCAGGTGATTCTCATGCATGCTCAATTTGAGAACCAGTCTCTAGATTGTGCCTGTTCACTTTCCTTCTCCATTTGACCACAAGCCTGTCAAGGGCAGGAGTTTGTTCATTTTTGTGTCCTTAGTGTTTGGTCTAATCTCCAGCACGTGCATGCATGTATGAATTTCCACTGACTTTATGTAACTACTTAATTACATAATACACATATGTAACTACTTAATTACATAACACACACACATATAACAATGTTGCCAAGTAAATTCACAAAGCTTACTACTTAAAGGAGCCAGGAAATTAATAGTATTCTAAAATGGAAACTTCATTTACAATGTGATATAATCCCCATTCACATATTTTAAAATTGAGCTACTGAATGTCACCTCTTCTTGAAGGGGTGGCTAGTATATATTTACGTGTTTTGTAGCCATTTTGGAAAGAACTTCTCCTTGAGACTTTGTTTCACCACTACCACCTCCCCGAACCTTGTCACTAGGGATCCACTTCCTCCAACCAATGCAGCTGGCAGCAGGTGAGGCTGTCACACTTCCCAGCTGTCTGCCCAATCTTAGATTGCCAGCATGGGGCAAACGTGCGTACTCTTCATGAGACACTCCTTGGTGAGGCCCTCTGGAGCAGCACATAACTGGGAAACCCTCTTAAATCCGAGGAGCTTTGAGCGAAAAGTGCCTCTCACAAAACACGAGGAGTGTCTGGATTTGTAACTTGTCATCTTACAGGACGAAAGAAGAGGCAATGGTTCACTCTTCAGTGAGTGCATGGTCAGAATTATTATGCACATAAACTTTGGGGATCTGCAGAGAAAGTAGCCTCATCTTTGAGGCTCTGGAAGGTCTCCAATAAGCTCTCGGGAAGAAGCCCTCAGCAGACGATGGACTCACCTTTGGAAACAAACTAGGTAGAGGACTTGACTCAGGTCAGCTGATGGAAAAGTGAGTGACACACTAGAGTGAAAGAGACTAGTTGACCATGTTAAATTGACCAAGGAGGCCATTAGACGGGAGTGGCTCTAACGCCTTAGTAACTGAATGTAAGCAAGCGAAACCTCAGCCAGAGTCAATTCCTATAAATACATTTGTATCTGAGAAAATGAAACCGAGGAACCAACATTCACAAACAGCCCACCTAGGCTCGCCTAAGTAAGGCAACTGCTTAAGCTAGAGCCACTCAGTTTCCTTGCTTCACTTCTGAGTCTGCTCTATAAGAGACTGTTCCCAGCTCCTAACGGCAGAGTGCCCCTAACCACTTTTGGTTTGATTCTGCCTGATGTGAATCCATGTTTGCTCAAATAAGCTCTTACAAACTTTTAGTGTGCCTCAGTTTATAATCAACCATTTCCTACAGTGCTCACACTGTATGGTTATTACATATTTCTAATATCATCCGTGCCTGAAAGTAGAAGATGCTTTTAAGTAAAAGCACGTTATGGACTGAATTGTATCTCCTCCAAATTCACATGTTGAAGCCTGACCCCCAGTCAAAGAATGTGACTGTATTTGGAGACAGGGCCTTCAAAAAGATGCTTAAATGAAAACGGGGCTGTTAGGGTGGCCCTTTATCCAATCTGACTGGTGTCCTTATAAGGGGGAATTGGGACACAGAGAGATAGCAGGGACACATGCACATGGAGGAAAGACCACGTGAGGACGCAGCAAGAAGGTGGCCCTTCCTTCCCCCAAGTCAAGGAAAGAGGCCTTGGGAGAAGCCGAACCTGCCAAAACCATGATCTTGGACTTTTATCCTCCAGAACTGAGAAGACGCATTTCTATTGTTTAAGCTACCCAGTCTGGGGTATTTTGCTATGGCAACCCTAGCAAATTAGTACAGCCCCTTTGGAAGCATCCTATGGCATAGCACTGACATATAGGAAGAGCCACTCAGTGTTTCTATTACTTACTCCTTTCTTGTTTCCTTCCATTTCTTCTTTTTTCCTTCTGTTACTGAACCAGGTTCGTTTTGCCCCAGGCACAGCAAGCCAAAACGCTGAGAGGGTTTTTCCCCAAGGCAGCCAAGCAAAGAGACGGGAGAACAAACCTCAAAGCTCCCTCTATGAAAGCAGAGGGTTCCGGGTATTTATGGGATGACGAATAAAGCAGCAGAGTGGTCTGGAGTGTGGGGAGCATGGGGAAAGGCGATTGGAAAAAGGTGCGGTAATCTTGGTTCTGCGCAGGCGTAACTAAGCATGTTCAAACGTCACTAAGCGAGCACCCGCGCATGCCCAGTTGGAGGGTCAGCGGTCCCGCCCAGTTGGAGGGTCAGCGGTCCCACCCAGTCTTAACCAGCTCAGTTCCAACTAGACACAGCTGACTCCAAGTTCCTAAAACAACTTGGGCCAACATCTTATGGTTTAAGCTACTTGGAGGACCTGCAAGTCTCAAAATGGCCTTGATTAGTGAGGGCAGGTGAAATGGATTTGACTCTCAGTTTCACTTCTTTCACCTTTCTTCCCATTTCCCTTTTACCCTCCACTTGAGCTCCAGGTGGAACTCACTGTGAGAGCTGCAATTGTCAGTCCTTGTTTGAGGGGGGTAGGAAGAAGAGGACCATGCTAATGATTTCTCTACCTCATTTTCTCCCTGCTTCCCAGCCCAAAGGGGGGACTGCATGTACCCCAGGAAAGCTCAAAAAAAGCACTAGACTTTCTAGTTATATTTATTTTGTATCTGATCCTTCAAAATATCTCTATTTGTAAATATTTTATCATTTCATAGGGGGTATGATTAAAACAGTTTGGAAAACACTAGATTTTAATCAATCATTCATAGAAACACAGATTATTCTGCCTCTAACTCTACAAAATTACTTAATTTGGGGTGTCCAAGTCTCATACTGTGGAGACGAACAAGAAAACAAATAATGAAGCTTCTGAGAAGAAATGACACATAAATTGAGAGTAGATGTTGTATTTGTCTTCAAGATGGAAATAATAACCCCTTTCCCATGAGGGATGTGCAAGGGAATAATTAGATCATTTCTGCAAAGTGTTTGAGGATATTTCAAGGTAATGATTAGCATGGTAGTTATCATTATTTTCCTCCACTTAGGATTGTTACTGCGTTTCCCCATCATTATTTAATTACTTGGTCAAGATGCTGGGTCCTAAGGTGACATTCTCGGTTTTTAAAAACAAAATCTAATATTGCCCTCTGGAATTAACTTTATGACTTGTAAGTGTACAATGCAAAATGTGTGTGTGTGTGCATGCGAGAGAGAGAGAGAGGGAGAATTTCCTTCTGTAGGCTTCCAACATTATAAGGAATATTAAACATCTTAATGCTTAAGTCTGGACTGGGAGGCCCATCTGTTTTATTGCATTTGAAAGTAGAAGTGGCTTCCCATCTTTTTCCTGGTATCTCACTGCTCTTTATAAATTTTAATCTCCCACTCAGATGTTATTTAAATATTAAAAATGACCCCTGACTGCCATGTATGAGGCACAATTACCTTGTCTTGGAGAAGGACAAAGAAATATTATGTTCATTCATCACCACCTGGACTATACTTAAAAGTGTGCTCCTTGCAAAGAGCAGTGGAGCATTAAACACACACACACACACACACACACACACACACCTGGAGCATCTTTTATGTGATGGTAGAGATGAGAGTAATTTGCTGGTATGTTTGCCAGCTCAGGGTTACTGGATGCTGTGTAATTCTTTCAAGTCTCTCTTCTGTATTAGCAAAGAAACAGGCAGGTTGGTGGGTTTCCTTTTATAGGATCCCAAACAAAGAACCCTCTTATCCCAGAATCCTTCTTTTCAGCTTTATGGATTTCAGCAATGGGAAGATAACAAACAAGCTGTATTTGATTAATCCCTCCCATGGCTTTTTAAATGGTTTCCTTGATTCATACTGGATTTCCTAAATATAACTACAAAAGTAGTCTAATCATTAAAATCACAGAGAGTAGACAGAGCATCCCTTCAACTACTGATATAATGGTACTTGCCCTGGCCCTACTCTGGAGCATGAGAACAAGGGCATTGTCAGCACAATTAATTGATCAAGAAAGGCAATCCCTGGGCTTGGCACCTGCAGAGTACACAGCAGCTAAAGTAAACCAGGTGTTAATTTGTAGAGATGCTCAG